TTTGGGTAAATGTGTGATGAGGAAGACTGTTTAGGGAGTTGACCGATGTAGACTGTTTTGTCTTGCGAGTTGAAGAATAAAGTTGAATAAGAGTGAAAGTGGTGTGATCTCAGGTTGCTCCGAAAATAATCGAGCAAGTCGAGGCTGCAGACGATGACGAGCTAAAGGAGGCTTTGCTGCAGTCGTTGGAAACCTTTTTATATCGATGCCCTAGGGAAATGGCTGCATATCAGGACAAAGTGCTTAAGGTGAGCTTAGAGAACTTCATTTAAATTGCGTTTACTGAATAAATTTAGATTGTTACTACCGACCTTACGTATGACCCAAATTACTCATATTCGGATGACGAAGAGGAGCAGTCTATGGAAATTGGTGGTGGGCGTGGTATCGGCTGGTTTTGCTTCGAATGGCTCGCAATAAAACACTATTTGTTACATATTAAGATGGCGACACTGATGAAGACGATGCGGAAGACTATTCTGATGATGACGACATGAGCTGGAAAGTGCGCCGTGCATCAGCGAAAACAATAGAAGCTATGGTAGTCCATTTACCACATTCTTTGCATATGCCTATTCTACTTTCTTTTTCAAGATTGTTTCGCGACGGGATCAGCTTTCCAATTCCGTCCAAACGTTGGGTCCATTGTTGATCTCACGTTTACGAGAAAGGGAAGAAAATGTGAGGATTGACATCTACAACGCCTACATTGCAATCCTTTCTCAGGCTCGTCTCGTCGTTCCTAACGCTCTTGCTGCTGTTTACGTAAGTTTACTGTTTGTTCTAATTTTTGTCAGTTATTTACTTCAAAAGTTTTTTTTTCAATAGTGTCGGAGCATGTTTTGTAAAATTAGTTATCGTCAAACATAAGCTTTCAATGCGCATGCATGATTGGCAGAAAAGTAATGTGATTTCATATCGCTGTACAGCAGGTCTCCCCTCTTGCATATTTTCTCTTTTCTACCTTAAGTAGCCATAAGTGCTATGTATCGAATTAATTTAATTGAACAAGTTTGGATGGCCACACTACTGCGCGTCATACTGTAGGCCTTTCCGAACGGGCCAACAGATGAGGCGGGAGCCATGATTGCTCTTCCTATTGTGTGTGTTCTTTTTTCGTTGGCACACTTCGATATCACAAGCTATCTGATTGAAGAAAAAGTCATCCATGATCACCTTTTTCTAACTAACAACTTGTTGCGTCAATTGTGGATGGATGTATATGTATGTCCGTATCTATGACGGTCCGCCCATAAAACGCTTGTGATTTCCTAAAAGGTTCGATCGAGGGCAATAGAGAGGAATTGACCTCAAACACGCCTATAGTCCAAATCAGTGTAGAGGTTTCATGAGGACATGGCGTCATCATCGTGGTAAAACCGTCTACTACACAAGACACCATTTTTGTGCGCGTTTCCCCCCCCCCCTTCCCATGTGATGTGGGAAGACTCCGTTTAGAGTTTGAGAAAGCGAAGGTCTAACGCATGTGCAGAGAAAGGGTGTTTCAGCAACTGCGTAGGAACAAAAAAGCTATAAACATATATGTAATGACTACAGCTTGCTGGCACAGGCATAAAAGGGAAAGATTGTTACCATGGTTCGTATGATTAAGAGGCGAAACGAACCATATTACGTATAATAATTTTTTTATACACTATTGCTTTCCTTTCTTTTTTATAAAAGACTAGCACCATATACCGCTTAATTTTGCTCATTTTGTATTTTACTACTTCCAGAAAGATGAAGGTGAGGAACCAATCAAAATTGGTACCACACTTTTTTCCCCGTCAGCTTTGTCTGAGCAGCTTAGCCAACAGTTATTGCAGCATTGCCGGACCCAATCAGAGCCTTTGTTGAAGGTTTGTTTGAATGGTTGAAGTTGTTGCTGCATTTTTTCAATAATGCGCTTTCAGGCTGTAATGAAGCAGCTAAGGTTGAAATCGCCGAAAACTCGTAGCCCTTTGTTTTGATTTGCTAGCCAACTTCGTCAGGTGAGCGCTTTCCTGTTGTTTGAAAGAATTATGACAAAATTCCAATTTTTGAAGAACTTTGCCGGGATCGTTGGCTTCGTACCTTCCAAGTCTGCTGCCTGGTTTATCGAATGCTGTACTTGATCGCAATAGCGGAGCTCCCATGAAAATCGATGCTCTCTCTCTACTTGCTCGGGTCATTAAGTGTCATGATCACAGTGTAAGTTATCATGGGAAATTCAAGAGTTATTTATCTCTTAAATTTGCTTCATTAGGTCTTTGCGCTCTCATCTTGACAGCATTGTTCAGTTAACAGTGGGCGCTATTCAGGACAGTTTTTACAAGGTATCTCAGCAGTTGACTACCAATTATTTTTGAGTAGTCTGAAGTTCAATTTGCCGCAATCATACTATGGTTTAGGTATCAGCTGAGGGGCTTAGTGTAGCATCACATCTCGTTCCAGTGAATTCGTGATTGTGGCTGTGGTAATCTAGTGCCGGACGCTTTATAGTGCTATTTTTGAGAAATTGAAAATTAACGATATTGACCAGGTAAAAGCAGCTCTTACAATTCTTCTGTAAGTTTTTTACCAGCTTTGCGTTTAGGAAGTCAAGGAGCGCGCTATCTACGCAGCAGGTCTCTTCATTGCCACTTTTGCCGATGATATGCCTTCAATGGTACTTTTTTCTTTATTTGTTTATATTATCGATCATTTTATTCTGTTTATCGATTGATACCGAAACATTGCATTTTGGTGCGAGGAATCGTCCTTCAGAAAAAAGTGACCGCCGCTTTCAGCATTTTATTGTGAGAGCCATCACAAGCTTCTTGTCGAGCTTATTTTCAGTTTAGTGATTCAAATGTGTAACCTCATGTATGTGTCTATCGCAGGTCATCAGTTATCTATCACGAGGTGGGGCAAATTTTTTGTTACTCTTATCTCATCTTAAGTATATGCCAACGAGTGGCAGAAGTTGTCCGTTAAAAAAGATGCAGAAGTGTGAAAGGTTCTCTTACAAGTACTTTCTTCAATTTAATGCATAGTTCAGGTTTTAATTTGTATCAATTTAGGTTCCTACCACACTTGAACTTATGGTGGAGCGTCTTCGTAACGAGATGACTCGCTTGTACGCCGTTCGTGCGCTCATAATGATAGCTGAAAGTCGCGATCCGCTCGTAGATATCTCGCCAATCGTACCGTTCCTTTTACCGACGTTTACTGATTTCCTCAAGAAGAATTCTCGTGCTCTCAGAGTGAGTAAATTCTTTTTGGTTCATATATTTTGAAACCCTGTCCTGCTTTTACATATCTTATATTTTAGATAGGTACTTTACATCTGATTGAAGCATTGCTTTTGAGAGATGACATTCCGGTGTTGGATACGGAGGACTTGACGCTAGTAAGTACTTCATATCACATACGTTCGAGCGATTACGAAACAGCAGTCTTGTTTGAAATTTTGAAGTATTTTTAACACGCGGTTTTTATACTGCCGACCGGTGCGAGCGTTCAGCGTAGGGTGGCACCGTCGAAATACGAGATCTACTGTTAGGGACATTGTGTTAGCGAGATGACCAAGAAATTGCTGTCAGCATTGGGGGCAACAGGTACACATACCAAAGGCTTATTGTTATGCTGCTATCAAATCTAATTTACTTTCGCTGTTTTCTTTGAATCAATCGATATCCTCCTTTTTCAATCACGATTATGAAGCTTGTCTGCGAACTTTTTCGTTTTTACTTCACACTTTTACTTCACTTTACTTTTTCTGCATAAGTACTATAGAGCGCGACTTGGAAACAATCCTTTGGGGAACTGAGCCAACCGTGTTATTCTTGGGTATGGTGAATTTATATTTTATCGCAGTACATTCGCGATGGTTACTTGAATCTCGTAAAGGATTTCACCGTTATGAAGTTCGCTACTGCGGATTTTGAATTTTTTTTCTGTGTGTTCGGTCATGTACGGTTATTTCGTTTCACAGCAAGTAGGTTCTGATTCTAGTTTCATTTCAAAACTCGAAGTAATCCCTATCGCATTTTTCCTATCTTCGTGTATTAGTACCTCACAGTCTACGTGTTTTACAGCCAGGAACAAATTCTTTTCCATTGCTTGCACTTGCATCCATTCCTACAATCCCGAAGCTGGTAGGTTATAGGTAGATGGTGGGGTTACTGGGCTTAGAAAGAGCCGAATTCTCTTTGACCGTTCTGATAGTTGTTCACAATATAAAACTACAAAAGTGGGGTAACTCAAAATAAGCAATTAGAAACCGTTCAATGTGGTATTTTGGAGGTAGATTATCAGTCACTAGCCTCATTGGCGAGGACAAGCACCATACCCTGAGAGAGTATCTAGCCAATAGATCCAAATTGCTTACAAATTTCTCACCTGCCAAATTGAAGATTAGAGTTCGAGTTTTTATATTACTTAATCTTTCTTAATAAATCAAAGAATTTAGAGAATATTTTAGATCTTCGCAGAGTTGCCACCACTTATCCGGGAATCAGACTTGCAGATTTCTCAGCTTTGTTTGAAGTGTATTACCGGTTGGTTCATTGATGTAATGATTTTTTAGTTACGCAGCGAATTTGGCCTCTTACTTCGAGCAAAGAGTGTGTGATTTGGCATTACTACTACTGCTTGGTTTTTGTTGTTTTAATCCCATGACATTTGTTTACTCTGTGCAGGTTGGATTCGGGATCTGTTAATTCCTCATCCTTCTTTTGTAGAATTTTACTGTTTCTTTTAGTTGGCTTACAAGCATATCCGGACAGAGTTGCACCCCAGCTGGCCTCAATTCTTTCTTCTGTTATTCATCTTTCACAGTCGGCGTTGTTGCAGGTAAAGTCATTGAGTCAAGAGTTTTTTACTGACAGCTGCGATGATCAATTGCTGCGATATTGATGTACCTATAGAGGATCTCTTTCAGGGAGCCACTTTGCAAGCATCTCTTGATATGATTCAAGTACTAGTTTCCAATCCTGTGCCTGGAAAGCCAGAATTCGAGGTATAGAATGTGTTGGCCATCTAATCCGGCATTAGAGCTAAGAAGAAATCTTACAGGAATTGCTTGACCAGCTTACGGCACCCGTCTATGATGTTCCAAATTTATCCAGACAAGCTTTCCAATCTATCTCCGCCGCCACCGGTGTCGTTGCCGCAGCAAGCGGAGATATTGAGAAGGTTTGCATCTATAATCTGCAAAGTCTTTAGGCCGGATAAACAAGGTCATTATCAACTCTCAGCTTCCGTCATGAAAGGCGTCCGTGTACAGTATCGGCCAAAAATATTCTCCGGAAGAGTTTTTCTACACTAAATTTTTCTCTCTGGGCCAACTCGCTTTAGGTTCCGGTGTTTTATGCCTCCTTCTAATCTTAAACAGATGGCAGCACCTGTATTTCTGTTCAAAAGTCGAAATATGGGTGCATGCGCATTCACAAAAAAACTTTCCTTTTAATTATTCATTCATGGCGGGCCCGAGATGTGCTCCAGTGGAGTTGCCAAGCTTATTGGTTGCTTCTTGTACAGAAGGGTTTCAACTCTTTGTTTCTACCCAACCATTTGGCATGCCGTCTTTCCAACACTTCTTAGGCTGGTGTCAGAGTCCGCGATGTCGCAGGTCGCAGGTTTCGCTGATTTTCGCGATTTGCGCGATTCACGCGACGGGTCACGGAAATCACAAGTGCCCGATCAATACTGCAAGGTGTTCTCCGCCGCCACTTCTGCTTGATAGTGATGGCTGAATGACGACTGCTCATGATTCCACTTGTTTCATATTCAGTGTTTCAAATGTTCAAATGGGGCACTTGCAATTTTTGCGATCCGTCGCAGGTTTCGCGCAAATCGCGAAAATCAGCGAAACCTGCGACGGATCGCGGACTCTGACAGCCTTACAAGTGGTCAACCTAATTAAATTTCGGCATTTGTTTTTACTAATTCGAATGTCCCACCCGTTTGTTGGGACGCGCTTTGCTGCTTCGGTGTGTTTTGAAACACTGTTTTCTTGTAGAATGTTCACAGCCGGCATCTTGGTTTTTTTTCTCTTTCTCGCTTTCTCTCAACGGCCTTCTCGATAATCATGGCCGTGTAGCTTAACCCGCAATCTTTTCCTGGAATTGAACCTGCGCCAATGATGCGAAATGAAGTAGGCAATCGCTTGTTTTCTGTTATGGTCAACGTTGGATTTTTTCATATCGGTTTGAATTTCTCGCTGTACGACGTCTCATAGGTGGACAATATTAAATATTATATCGTAGTTGTGAGGGTGGTTTGGGGTTAGTGGATATAGACCAGTAACTTTACTCTGCGTTTCGGTCTTGTCAACTTTTGACGAACTTGCAGTTTGAATGCTTATTGGCGCTCGTTCTTTTGCCAAGATCGGTGCTCATCTTTGACCATTTATTCCTTACTTTTTATTCACTTATTTTTTTATGTAATAGCGATCAGCCATTTATTATTTTGTACAGGCACGATCGCTAGCGGAAAGTTTTAGGCGGATAACTATCGAACGATTCTACAGATTGCCATACGTTTTGTTCAGTGTTCATGTCCTCTGGAACTTGGTCGCCCCCTCGCTGTCGAAGTTTATGAGATAGCACCGTGTGAGTTAGTTTCATATACTATTTTTCGCATAGCAAGGATACTGATCTTTACATATTACAGACCTGAGAAGCTGATCATCCCAACTTTCAACTCTAGCTCAGAAGATTTGAAAGCAGCTGCTGCTCAAGCCCTAGGCGCTCTTGCAGTTGGCGGTATCGATTGGCGACTTGCCTACTTCATTTGAATGAATAAGCCAGATCAACGAAGAGCAGTATCTGCTCTTACACGCTCTGAAAGAAGTTAGTGAAATATATCATAAAAAGCTGTTGCTGAAGGCAGTTGTGCTCATTTAGGTAATCGGACATGAGTCAACAAATATTGTACCAATTGAAGTTTTCCGCTCTCGCATTAGCGAGATTTGGCCAGTGCTTGTTGACCATGCAGATGGGAATGAAGAAGGAACAAGGTGACTCATTTTTTTATAATTCAAAGCAGTTGTTTTCCATAGTGATATCCATATTTCTCTTCTCTTGTGAATTTAGTCAGTAATGTGGTTTCACCAGTAAGTCGATTGTCAAAACACTGTGCCCAATCATAGACAGTTGATGCTTATTCTTGGTGCTTTATTATATATCGTGAATTGATGGTATTTTTGTAAGTTATTTATCTAGAACTCCGTCAGTGGGCGAAGGGAGGGCGCAAAAAGCTGACATGTTCAGTATGATCGGTTTGTAAAAATTTCGAATTCATAGTGAAAAATCGCATAAGATCTTTCGAATGTAAGTATTCACTTGAAATAACTCCTAGTGCACACTCTATTTACTATACAGTTATGTTTTGGGTATCTCATCGTTGGTCAACTCCAAATTGGACTGATATTGAGATTGTTAGGTATAATTCTCCTACTGCGAAAGCTGTAGGTATGACTCAGCAGGTTGCTGGAGATCGCAATCCTCACTGCAAAATCTGACATTCCATAAATTCTGTTCATTATAATTTCTAGTAAGCATCTAATATGATATTTGTCTGCCAATGATGATTATTGGGCATCTGTGAATTTTCAAAACAATGAAGTGGGGAACGTCATCTCTCCAAAACGCCTACATTTGATAAACGCAATTTTGACTCGTCGATTATACGTGCGCTGATATTTCTATACAGCTCTCTCCACATTAGACTCATTTTCGCTACTTCTGCCGATTTTTTTTGACCCGCGCCGTCTTTGAATCAAAAAGTTAAGGTTTTGTGGAAAATCCGCGCTTCTCCGGTGCACACCCCATTCAGAATGCTATTGGCCTTCACCTCTTGGCCTATCCCGTTATACGAAACTGCCCATCAGGGACACGTCGCGGCTTAGGGCGACCCCCGTTATTCAGACATGGTTTTGCTACACTTTTGTATTTCCAAATTTCTTGCTGTGTTTCGGAAGCTTTCTTTTACGCTTTTGGGAAGTTTTTCGGTGAGCACGCCTGGATAGAAGCCTGTCACCACACGTGAACTGGTCTTGTTAGCCAGGGCATATGTGTACATACTCTTCACCTATCTTATGAGTGGAGTTAGTGTCAAGGTGGCACGCTTACCACGCGAGCGGTCCGGGGATCAAATCCTGGGCCAACCAAGCCTTCCATCCCTCCGGGGTCGGTTAATTGGTACCAGACTTGTCTGGGAGGATAAAAAACACTGACTTGTACATCGGCTGGCCCCCGCAAGTCATTGTATAGGCCACATCGCATTCAAAGCGCCACTACGAATGTACAAATGGAAGTAGAATGCGTGCCGCATCCCAAAGGGATTGATCAACGGCAAATGCTATCTTTATCCTTTATTTGCAATTGGGTAGACTTGCACGCGAAGTGCGTTGTCATACACTGTACTATTGACTTTTCAAAACATCTCTAGTCAGCTTGACCCATGCTGTACCTTTTCCAAACATGACCCCGTCTACCAGGTTATTTTTCAGACTATGCCGAATGTCGTGCCATACAGCAGGCGAAACAGTTTCAAATAGAATTTTGACTTTCGCTGCTTCAATTCTCGTTTTTCGAAGCATGGCCTTTGGGGTTCTTGCATTCAGGAAATTGTTGGCGGGCCCTGTTGAAATGATAACACATGTTGCAAAATGAATTGCTCATTAGGATGGATTGTGATGGATGGGTTTACAGGCTATTTTCGAAATTATAGGAACGTTGTTGCTGAGTGTCTCGGCAAGTTGAGCGTGATCGATCCTCATGGACTATTACCGGAGCTGAAGGTGATTCATTTTACGTGCACGTGTTGTGAGTAGTGGGCTAGTACTTACGATACGTGAATTGCATTTTTTTTTGTATTTTTTGTTGTATTTTCTTTTAGTGTCTTAGTCTGAATTACCGCAATTAATCAAGTGTGTTTAAGAGCTTGGTGACTTCCCCGTCTGCTCGAGTGCGTTCCGCTGCAGTGACCGCAGTGAAGTTCATGATTTCGGACGAAAAAAGACCTGTTGATGCTGTTCTCCAACAGATTGCGTGAGCGTTATGTTTTTTTTGAACATTTTTTGTTGGTCTGTTTTAATTAAGACTGCAGAGCGTGAAAGGATGGAGTGGAGCGGCGGAGCTTCTGGAGAAAATGGAATGTGGGTATGAGTAAGATTGAATTATTTCCTATCAACTGCAGGTGAATTCCTACAAACCATGACCGATTCTGATTTGAACGTTCGCCGCGTGGCTCTCGTCGTCTTAAATTCGGCAGCACATAATAAACCTTCATTGGTACGTCGTCGCTATTTTGTAATGGCACAAATCTCAAGACTGTTTATAGCCAACAACGCATCGTTCAGATTCGCAACCTTCTGGATGTCTGCTGCCGTCTGTTTATTCGGAAACCCAAGTGCGAAAGGAGTTAATCCGTGAAGTTGAGATGGGACCATTCAAGCATCAGGTCGATGATGGTTGGATCTTCGCAAGTCTGCCTTCGAATGGTAAGCTCTTTGTACTCTCGGGAGATTTTAATTATTAATGTTTTTCTTGCACAGTAATCATTTGCAGTATGTACACATTACTCGAAAGTTGTCTGGAAAAATTGGAAATATTTGAGTTTATCAATTATGTTGAAAATGGACTAAGGGTGAGAGAAAACTCATTATTTTTGCCACGTATTTCACTCTCATTACTCTTTAGCGCTATCATTTAAGGATATGCATCACGACATCCGTCTGTTGAGCTATCTCATGCTAATGAAGCTGGCGATGCTTTGTCCAAACCAGCTCGTTCAGCGCTTAGACAAGATCTGCGAGTCGCTGAAGGTGCGCTGTCTTTTTCATACAATCTTTGTTGTCTTTATCATTGGGAATTTTAAGACCCAACTACAAACAAAACCGAAATCCAATGCTGTGAAGCAGGAAATCGATAAACAAGACGAACTAAAACGAGCCGTAATCCGAGTTGTTTTGGCTCTTCAGGTATGGTATCTTTCAATCTTCGAATGTGAGCTCGTAATTTTGGACTCGTGATGCTGGAATTGATGCACTGGTCGATAGTATTCCATAGCGTCTGATGAACGTTCATTTTGGCACGCTCTAAACTTTGAAGACTTTCCGCTTCAGGAGAGTAGAAACGATGCTACTTCAAATGTCGTGAAAAATACAATTGCCAGAAAATTTGAAAGCCAATTAAGCTATTTGTTTATGATGTATGGAGACCTTCTAATATATTTATTAGACATGGAGAACATATGATCGTGGTTCACTTTCTTTCTTTTCGTGATTGGTGGTGCTCCTGTTTGAGGAAGTTCAAATAGAAACAACAGTGGCAAACATCAGTGGTGTTCGTGGAGAGTAGGATTTTTTTTACTTGAGAGAGGTATTCGGAAAGCAGATGCGAAGATCATTGCAGCGCTGGTTATCATCTTGTTGGCTATGCTTCGCTTAAGTGTTATCTCTCGTTGGCTATGACATTGTTCTGTTCTAGAACGTGTTAGTAACTGTGGCGAGAAGTGGGTCATGCGACAACTAGAAACATAGATCCTTGCGGGCCATCGGATGGATCGCTCATGAATTTTTTTGCTGAACTAAGATCATGATCTCCGGTTTCAGAGACTGTCGGGTGAAGCCTAATAGAGGCGTGCTTTATTTATCTCTGAATCACATTAGTCGCTAGTATGCAAAAATGCTAAAAAAATTGCGTTATCAGTTAATGAAGAAATATTGTATAACACAGAGAGGCACCTGAATTTTATTTCAAAGGAATTCCAAAAGTTCACAAAATTCAAAAACTCTAAAAAATCAAAAGTTCCAAAAAAGCAAGAAACGATTTGAAAAGAATCCTTCTGAGATCTTCCGCGATATTTCGGTGTGAAACCTTTTTAAGGGTTTTTCTGCTAATAATGTAATGAAAAGGGGAGAATTGAAATCAAGGCACTATTATTTTTCGAGTGGCAAATTTGAAATTGAGTCACTAGCAGGTACATGGGTGGAGCGAATCGACGAGAGCTTCACTGGGCACGCATGAGTGCGCAAGAGGGGTTAGGGCGTTCCTCCATGGCTGGCCGTCCGAAGTAGAACGCTTTGAATGTTTACCTTCGGGAATCACGCTCTAATTCAATTTTTCGATATTCAATCCTCTCAGTAGTAGTACCCATGAATTGTGCAAGAAGCGAAGGGCTACGTAGCTAGAAGAAAGTTTAATGAGAGAATGAAAGAGGTGATGTGGAATGAAGTGCCTCGAAGCGTGCCGGATAGTAGCTATCAGGCCGCCTCGCGTGACTGAATTTTTCGATGAAAGTGGGTTTGTGACGCGTATGTAGCACTGGAGAACGTTTTATTCTATGATATTGGTAATTCATTGAGACTTTCCTGCGTCGGTTGTGAATTCCATGTTCATTCCATTTTTATGCGTAAAATCCTGGGTCGCCGTTGAGATACGCCAACGATAAGAACACGCACTGAAATAATCGACTACCTAGAATTCGATTCAATGCAAGGCCATTCAAATATCGTGCTTAATGATTCATTTTTGATGGGTAATTATGTTATCTGGTAGAGGCTAATGCCTAGGGTACTAATAATTTGCTGGCGCTTTCTGAAAAAGTCCATAACGATTTTTTTTTCAGAAAATCCCTGATGCGGAGCGCCATCAACAGCTGGTCGATGTGGCGGCGATGATGCGATCTTCTGCAGAACTTCGTGCCCTCACCGAAGTTGTGCAACGGGATGCTATGAGAACGTTCGCGGTTGGAGATGTTCCTATGGATACCATCTAGTCAACTGCTTTC